CAACTTTGCCTGTGGGTAGCACTCTATAATGGCCAATTGAACAAAAGCAAATTCAGCTAACCTAGTAACTCAAATTCCAAGCCTCTGCATGTTACCTAGCCAGTAAGTCTCAGTGATATCAACGAGAGTAACTTCTCAGTAAACATGCACAGAATTATGCTGCATAAGACTGAGCTCTGTGTTATGATGTCTCAGATTGAATGTATGATGAACTCATGATGGGGACTTTTGCTTAGCATCAGCCCATAGCCACAGTATGGGATCATCATTATACCCATCCTGGCTAGGTTGTTTTAAAGACTGCAAGAAGGCAATATAGATGGAGTGCAAACTACTAACTACTTATTATTGATTGCATGGGATCACTTCCTTAGCAGTATGTTTAAAACAGTTTCAGCCATGATAAATGTTGGGATGGGGAGCCCTTGGGCCATCAAATGCTTTGGACTTACTTGAACTTTCAAAAATCTTACCATGCTTAGTCAATGGTAAGATTATTGCCAAATATCTAAAGGTCTTCCCCAACCCTGAACTGTGGGTACTATTGCCACAGTTTGTCAGTGGTGACAAAAGAGCCTCTATACTGTTTACAGAGGTGAGCAGTGGCTGTCTCACCAGGGCATCTCCAGGGAAGTATTTCCCTGCCATACAAGTATATGTCATGGATTAAACCTGGAACTATTGGCACGCAAAATATTATTTCATCACTTAACCTGCCCCTAATATTATGAATGTGCTGTCCAACGCTACACAGCAACTCTGCTAAGATTCACTGTTCTCTTCTGTTTCCATAGTCCCCTTTAATAAATTGAATATGTGTATATTCTTTTACTATCTTGAAAACAGGGGAGATTATGGCTGCATATTAACATCTTTTAACAGAAGTAAAAGCATACACTCCTGATCTTCTGGATCTGTTTGTCAATATTCTTCTTTTGTAAAAACTGATTCTCTTGAAAACATATGAAGTTATCAAAAGGAAAGATGGGTTACTTGGAAGTCACTGAATAGGCTATGGACTGGAATTGGCAGAACCAAAGTGATTAAATAAATAACCTTAGAACTGCAGAACTAGAAGGGACCCATTGGATCATTGACTCCAGTCTGTTTCAAGGAGGCACAATGGGGAATGGAACTCCTAATCTCTAGCTCCATAGCCAGATATCTAAACTTCTAAGCCTATGAGTACAGAGAAGAACAGACAACTTCCCATCTATGTCAGTATACTCTACACCCTTCAACATGTGCCATGGAAGATATAATGTTAGCTGCTTCAAATGCTCTTGAAATTACCATTAGTGGGCGAAAAATAAAAATTACTTTGTAATATGTCTACTGAGATTTCATAGAGGAAGGGAAAAAGTATATGATCTATATTCTCCTAGCAGAATTATATGAATTTTCAGCAGGGAATCTTCTGCAGCAGAACAAATTCAAGGGATAATGGCTGGAAAGTATTTCAGTTAATAAATGCTGCGAAGCAGAATTCTAAGCTCATTTCAAAGCTGTCTTGGCACACTCATTCTAGAGACTATTTTCCTATGCACAGTTGACTTACATCATACATAGCAACACGACTTCATCCCCCCATGAAAATAATTTTACAATGGGAAATTACTTCACTTCTCAATGTACTTGCATCATACTGAGCTGTCCACCTCCATACTGACTAGTTCCTCTTCGAAGACAATATACTTTCTTCTTCTCTATTTCATTTAAGACCAAGTTTCTGGAGTATTGGGACTTGGGCAAATATGGGCAGCATATCTGTTTTTCATGGCTCCTCATGTGCTTCTCACAGCATACAGGACCCTCAATCACAAAGGTCATTATTTGAAATGCCAATGCTCATTATTGAAGGCAACCGAAGATTATTTAGAAGCAGGGGTTGTGGGACTTGGTCCATCTGAGGATTCAGATTTCACTGCCTTGAAGCTCTCACCAGCATGGCCAGTGCTAAAGGATTATGTGAGTTGTAGTTCAAATATCTGTTTTAGGCATGTTCTTAAGTCTTCTTAAGTGATCATCTGTAAGGTCTGACACCATGTGAATACTAAACAGAAGTGTTTTGACCATTCAGGATGCCACATGTATACTGAAGCACTTTAAGATCAGGCTTTTAAAACTGGATTTGGGATATAAATGGACATTAAAGCTGAAACTACATTAGTGTTGGAGAGATACGACTGAAGTTGACTCTTGTGTTTGAGAAGCCCTGAATACCAGTCACAAAGCAAATAAAGCTAATCTACAAACTTTAGGGATGAGAGAATATTGTGCTGTAATATCCGTACACAATCAACTTGCAAAGATTTTTCTTTTTTTAAATGAAGAATTGTCCATAATGTCTGTTTCTGCCTATAAAGAGAAATCAGTAGATACACTCTAGGGATTTGATTCATTGGCTGCTCTTTAGTACAAAGTTAGGCTGCTTGTGACCTTTTATTTCAATGGGTTAGGTGAACCTGATTCTGCTAGATTGTGGGCATATTATTTCAATCAATCATTCCATGTAAATTGATACTACTTTCAGCATGGCACTTGATTTATTTCTGAAATACTATTTTGATTTTGATTTAAGACATTGTCAGTGCTATGCCTTTCACTGCCAAAGGAAACTGTCTACACCTCATTGCTATCAGAAATATGTTTAAGATTACAGTTGAACACTTATATCCCAAACACATCCACTTTATTTTGACGCACTTCCTATGACTGCTGTTGTAATATCTCAGACAGTCCCATTCTTCAATCTGCCCCATACAAGAGAAGAATGAAATTGTGAAAATTATTTAAGAGAATCTGCAAACCTCTTTCTCCCCATGCACTAACTTAGCCAGTAGCATAGATTTTATCAATCTGTACCATATATAATTATACCACATTGAAAATGATACCCTGTACTATGAGCATTGTCTTCAATAGATTAGTTGTTTCAACTGAAGCACATAGACCCGCAGCAGCGTTAAGTGCAACATATTTTATGGTTATGGATGGGAATGCATTATCATCTATTATTCATAACTATGAAGACCATACTTAGATGAACTTCACAGTATCCTTGGCCAGAAGACTGATTCCTCTTTCATTGTATAAAAGAAATCCAGGAATCTAACTGTGATGTTTAATTCGATAGCAGCATTAGGAAGAGCCTCAAAGTTAAGTGTGTACTCTGCATACAAGTCATGAGCCTGGTTCTCATTCATGTAGCAGATATGTATGTGGGTGCTCTTGTGATTAAATGTGACTCTAATAAGAAGATTTCCTCACTTAGAAAATATAACTGATATGTTAAAGGAAAGGCTAGTTGTGGTTCTTCTAAGCAAACCCAAGAGGTAGTATGTTTGCTGTGTTTCCATGCAGATTGAAGAGAAGGTTGAGCAACCCCAGTCCAGTCTCCACTGCCGTTCCTCCAATGCCTGTGCCTTTAGCAGACCATCAGCTGACAGGTATATATATATATATATATAGGTATTGATTACTTGTTCAGAGTGAAATATTAAATGTATTTTGTCTTCACAAAAAGAAATTGGGAGTGACGCTCTCAGCATCTAAACAAGTTAAACCTTGGTCATTCAGAGATCATGCATTTTCATTTGCAAGAGCAACTTAAAAGGGCACAATTGTTTCCTAAAACACCAGTTCTATTAATGGGAAAGTGTCTTTGAGTACAGGCTCAGCAAACTGTTTCAAAGAAGAAGACAGCACTTAGCAGCCTGTCTGATGGGATCACTGGAGAAAGAAGGCTGTGATCTTGTTTGAGCCAAAACATTTTCTTGAGTGCAGAAATACAGGTAAATAATACTTGAGGTGAAACCGATGACGGACTGAAAAGGTCTCTTCACCGGCAGACTGCAGGATGGGGGTGGGGTGGGAGATGAAGTGCTGTTTACTTCCATCGTTTTCTGAAGGCTGAAGAGGTTTTGCTAGGTAAGCAGAGAGGGGATTTGTTACCCCAGCTACACGGCTATTGCTCTAGAGACAGCTGTCGCAGCAAGATTTCTCCTTTCTGAAATGCTATTTCCACACTTGAACACACATTAAGCATGTATCTTCCATGGCGCTTACACCACTGACTGCTGCGATTTCTTTTCCACTCGGAAACGCGCAGGGAAAAGAAACGTCGCTGGAAAAGGATCTTTAATGTTACCTGACTGGTCAAAAACGGAGCGTCTGCATGCTGTGTTCGTTTGAATTACCGTATTTCTTTTTGAACGCGGTAATCAGGACGGCGGGGTCCGCGTTACAGACGCCGCGAGAGGGTTTTCTCCCTCAGCTCTACAGAGCTGCGAGCGCCGGCTGCTTCGCCTTTCTAGGTATTTCGGCTGGCGCTGACCCTGGTGCTGAAACCTGAAAACATGTACACAGATGGACTGGCAAACGCCCGCTCGCCCGTTCTCACGGTCCTTCGCCAACGGGGGTATGAGAAGAAGGCACTTCATCCAATAAAAGGAGGATCTCTAACCTTCCAAAAGCAAAATCAGTCCCGTGCTTCTCGGGAGAGCTAGAATTATGGGAGCAAAACCAAGTCAAGGCAGTTGCAGTGCCAGGCCTTTCCAGAGCTAAGAAGCGAGCTACAGATACACACTGGCGACTCTGAAACGGGGCACTTCTTTCCACCCCTCTAGGGCTGTCATTATTCCGATCGCTAAACAGCAAACACTAAAAAGGGGCCAAGAAGGGGATGGGCTTAGACACCATCCATCTGCCTGCTGGCAGCAAAACAAACCTCGCGCAAGGTACAAGTCCAACACCCTCGCGATGGTATCCCCCTCAGCACACATACAGAGCACCCGCGGAAGCTCGCAGTTAGCCCCCAACAGGTGCTTTCCCCGAGCCTATTGACTTGGCGCTACAATGGGGGAGAGCTCTTCCGGGGGCGCCCAGGCAGCCCCCCCCGCGCCCCTCCATCCATCGGGCGCCCCTTCCCCGCCAGGCGGCTCCGCCGCTCCTCTTGGCCCCGCCACCCCGCGGCCAAGCCCGGCCTGGTTTCTGCTCACCTGCCACCTGCAGCTGAAGCCATAGGTACCCGAGGGGCAGGCAGGCGGCTCCCGTCCACATGGTGCACGCCTGCAGCCGGCAAAGAGGACCAGCGAGCGTTGCTCGGGCTCCCTCGCTCGCCCGGTCAGGTTTGGCTTCCCATCAGCTTTTGCCTCCTTCCTGGTTAATGAGCATGCTTGAGCCCCAAAGCACGCATGTGCAAACGGCGCGAGCGAAGAAGCCGCCGCTGCCCTCTCCTGCCCGCGGAGTTTGCCAGCGGCGGAAGGGCTGCCCGTTCAGGCAGGCAGGCAGGCACTGGGAAGGCGGGCAAATGAACGGGAGGAGAAAAGGCGGGAGGCGAGAGCGGGAAAGGGCTTGCGCTGGCAAGCAGGGGAGGGAAACCCTGAGGCGCAGAGCAGGTCTTGGTGGAAAGAGGCGGAGGTGGTGAGCAGCGACTGGAGGGACAGCAGCAAAGGCGTTTGCCTCCCAGCTCGCCCATTGAGAGGCCACATCGCCTCTCAAAGGCTGCATCCATTCTTTTCCTTTCAGCACTTGGCTTCTGCTTTTGGTTATAGAAGGAGGTGGGCTTTCAGGCAATGTGAAGATAAGCTTTAACGGCCTTAAATTAAATAGTTTTATTTCTTTATTACACAATTGAAAGGGTCCTGTCTCTTGTAACCATCACCTATAGTCAATTGAAGGTGCACCTTCAGGAGGGCCTCAAATGAGGAATGTTAGTGTCTAAGTAAATAAGTATAAGAGCCTTGTGGCGCAGTGGTTAAACTATAGCATTGCAACCAAAATTCTGCTCATGATCAGTGTTGGATACCAATGGATTTGACAGCAGGCTCAAGATCCTTTCTGAGGTTGGTTAAATGGCTAGTAAAAATATTCTGCTGGGAACAACTGCAAAGAGAAATTAGTCTCAGTCTAGCTGATTTAGTGGTCCTCATTTTCTCATCTCTCCCTCCTCCTGATACTTGATAGAATCTGTCATACCTAGATGGTGAAGGACACACCATGGGGAACTGAACTCCCAACCTCTGGCTCTGCAGCCAGATGACCAAACCATTTAGCTATTCAGCTGCAGTTGAGTCTTGTTAATCACTACCAAAAAACCCTCACACCAACTAAACCAAAACCAAACAACCAATCACCACACCTTCCACCTGCCCCCGAATGGATTGGATAGCCCCCTCTCTTATAGGCTGCAGGACCCATGAAGTGTATCTGCACTGCATAGTTGTAGTACCTTAATACCATACTGATTGCCAGGTATCTTTTATGCAGTTCGAATGCTGCAGTTTAAGGAAATGCACTACCAAAGAAAGGAAGGAAGGAAGGAAGGAAGGAAGGAAGGAAGGAAGGAAGGAAGGGAGGGAGGGAGGAAAGGAAAGGAAAGGAAAGGAAAGAAAAGAAAAGAAAAGAAAAGAAAAGAAAAAAGTACTTCACCAAACCCCAGATCTCAGGATTTCATAGGATGGAGTCACTGTAGTAAAAGTTGGATCAAACTACTATGGTCATGTAGTGTAGATATATTACTACAGGAATACTGTATCCCAAATTCCAGGAAATGGTAAGATCTTGAGATGTAGAATTTTTTTCCCCTCACCAGTGAAGACAGGGGTATGTTGAATGAACTCAACAAGGGAGTCTTATCTGCATTAGATTAACTTTAAACATCTGATAACACTAGTATCTTCAACAAAATATCCATGATATTAGTTAATTTGAGCAGGAAGTAGCTAATTTTTTAAGATTGCTAACCTGTCAGGTCTTCATAACTCAATTGCTCTTCCACTCCATTATTTAAAAACAGTTCTCTGCCTAGAGTAATTCTTGTGGTGGAGTTGTTAGGTCAGATGCACAGAGACATGTAAGATAATTTCAAGCTGCAAATTGCAAACTGTTGTCTGAGAAACCCTTAGCAGTGGTCTGTGGGAAGTTGCCTAGTTAAGCAGTGCCAACTCAGTTGTTCCCTCTCCTCAGTTAAGTAACATCTAAAGCTACCTGATGTAGATTCATTAGGACTTTCTCATAGGGTCAATTATTGTGGTTCACCATGGATTTAATATCCATACAACGTTTTCAGTGTTAGGCAGTATGGTCTAATCAGTAACAGTGTTGGGCCAGAAATTAGGAGATCCAGATTCAGATCTCCATTGAATGATTGAACCATATTGCACCTACCTCACAGGCTTGTGGTGAAGATAAAATGGGAAAGAGAAGGGCCTGGCATGTCACTGTGAACTCATTAAAGGAAGCGAGGGATTAAAATGCACCAACTAAATAAACTTTCAATAATGATTTTAAAAATGAGATGCACTCTCATTGAGTTTTAGACAAGTAGTAAAATCCACATGTCCTGAGGTTTGATTATTTTAATATTATTCTAGATTGTTCTGAGCATTTTGTTTTTCTTCTTCTTTTTGTAAAATATTTTTTCTTCCCATTTTCATGGACAGACACTCTAGTGAAGTGCATGGAGTGACTCTGAAGATGTCTGTCTCAAAACAACTCTGTAAGCATTGCTAAAAGTTGGCAGCAAAGCTTGGCTACATGTAACATGAACCTGCTTTTGTTCCACTCTGATTTTACTGCATTTTTGTTTGAAACTGAATTGTTTTAAAAACCTAGTTGGGCAGAAAATTGTTTTATAAAGGCTTTTAATAAATCAAAAGTGTTTTTTGTCCCCTGATTTTAACTGGAGAGTGAAAGACTCCTTTCTCTCTTTGTTTTCATTATAGCCCATCAACCCCCCCCAAAAAAGAGGTCACACAATTGCAGAATAGGGAAGATTGTGAGGAAATGGACAGATTGTAGAGTAGAAAATGAGGGCAGAGGCACTTTCTATATGTGATTGCCCTTTTCTCTGTTTCATGGCCTACTCTCTTTAGCAGGGTCTTCTACCATTCATGTAGCATTCCTGGAGAGAAGAGGGGTTGCTGAGGGAGGGAAGACTCTTTCTGCTTGACTATCTACATGTACTTAAATTTGACTGAACTCAATAAATATCATTAAGATTCTAAAATGTGTTCAGAAAAAAAGAAAACTGACTTTAGTCATTCCTTCCTCTCTATGGAACTTTGGGAAGTTTAGTTCTGTGAGGGCATGCAATTGCACCATAGTACAGTTCCCAAGAGGCTTTGCAACAAGACCTTGTATATATAATAAGACTGCCTTACTGCTCGAAGAACTAGGTGTCCACAGAAGAAGGGGTACCACAGAGGTCATCAGTCTCTTGGGGTTTAATTGAAAGATGTAAAAAGAAGTGCTTAGTGTTACCCTCTTTCTTGGAAGATGCTATTTCCTTTCAAAGACCCAAAGTTTTTCTTGCCCTGCTTATTGTGGTATTTTATGACTTAGGAAAGCCTGCCCTTTGGTTAGGCATTTGATTTCAAGTCACCTATAGCCCTCCATGTTAAAGCTGGGGGAAAAAATCAGGTTGTTGTTCCCCCACATAGTTCAATTCTTTACCTGATGTGTCTGGTTTCCTTGGCAACCAGGCAACCAAGCATATTAAAACTGTCTCACTCAGATTCACTTCAGTCTCCCATTTTACTTCAGCAGCCTCTCTTCCTCCTGATAAGTTAGAGTTGATCTTTGCTGGTGTAGAGATGTATACAAAGCTGTCCCAAGACATTTTGCAAATTGAGTACAAGTGTTATTTTTCAATTACAAAGCAAAGCAAAAATATTTTAAGATGACATGTATTCAAAAGAATATTCCTACATATCCTTAGAAACCACTTACAGAAAGCAGATCTGAGAGGGAGCAAGAAAGTAAGCCAAATGCAGACAGCACCCATAAACTCACACAAAGAGAGAGGGAGAGATTGAAAATCTTGGTTTCTGAGACCATGAATGGGTGGGCAACAGCTTGCAAGAAGCTTCCTAATGATTATACCTTTAAATGTGTGGTGTGTGCTTTTTGATTTATTTTTAATAATTATAGTTATATGGAATCTCTACCCTCAAGGTAATATGCCTCTGGACCACCTACATGCTGGAGACAAACAACTGGTGAGACCTATTATCTTCATGCCATCCCTATAGGCTTCCAGGAAGGATCGTGGCTGGCCACTTCTGTGTAACTTCTGCTATAGTTTAGGGGAGTGCACCAGGGCTCTCTAAAGAAAAGACTGAAGTACCTCACCAAACTAAAAATACAAGGATTTTGTAAGATGGTACCATGACAGTTAAGCTGCTAGTGAACTACTGTGTCGTGCAGCTACACTTCTGGAAACAGAATTCTGGATTAAATGCTGCTTTCATCCAAATAAATTCAGAAGGGCTCTTCTTCATAGAAAGAAATAAGTAAGCATGAATCTTCAAGTACCATAGTTAACTTCAATTAATTATTTTGAGGTGTAACAGTTACATTTTAAAAGCAATGTAACAAATAGGAAAATAGTTACTTTATTGGTCTAATGTTGAATGATTTCTAGTTAGTTTCAAACCGTACTTTTAAAGAGAAATTTAAAATGCTTTGAGACATTTTGACAGGAATTTTCCTTCTCTTATGAATCTTTTTTCAACAAAACCATTGAAAAATAACAGGCTGCAAGACAATACACTAAGCTATTTTACATTGCAGTAAATGACAATGAGTCACTTTTGGAACACTCTAACAAATAATGGGGATTATTTGCTTTTTAAAAACAAATATCCATGATCTGGTTTAAGGTCCTATAGAAAGTTTCATCAGTACTTGGTACAGATATCTTGAAGCTGAATTCTTAATACTCTCCTGGAAAAGGAAGAAACTGTTTCTCAAATGTGATTTGTATGGAGATTTATTGGTTGCAGTGAGGCCTTTATCCAGCAAGTGGCAGTAAATGATTCATGGGAGAAAAATATATCCATTATGAAATTGAAAAAGGTGAAGGAAAAGCAGAACCATTGTATCAATATGGATAGGCAAATTTATCCTTCAAACTTTCTCTCACATTCACACTTTAAATTATCACATTCTTTTCATGTGAGATTTGTAAATTATGGTAAGCTCTTATCAATGTGCCTCTCAACCAGCCGTACTGTCTAAATTCAAGAAGTATAACAATTACTCTAAGCATGGAATGGGTCTTTTCATAGCTATCTGCCATAAAACTGTTAAAGATTAAGAGATGTTTGGGGGGAAGTAGTCATCCTAATTAAGTACCATAAACATGATTCAATACAAAAGAACCAGAACTTTTAAAGTAAAGCACTCCAAACTATCTGTGAGTTTCACTTCCATTGTTTAAAAATAACATTTTCCTATGTAATTTTCCTAAGAAATCTGTACATTTTGGGAAGTTCTTCTCAAAACAAGAAACAACAAGA